GGGATGATGGTGTTAAAGGCCAAGCTGAAGTCCACAAACAGGATCTTCTTCACTGATTTGAGGTGCAGGTGTCGGGGAGAGGGGGGTTGCTGGAGGTGTGAATGGTTGTGTGGAGAGGTGTTCAGGGCGGGTGTGGGGTGTTTTTTTCAAACCTGCAGTAGAACTCATTCAGATCGTCTGCCAGGTGTTGATTCTCCACAGTGCTGGGGGATGATGTCTTGTAGTTGGTGATTTCTTTCAGACATTTCCACACTGATGCAGAGTCGCTGGAAGTGAACTGAGTCCTTTGTTTTTCAGAATAATTCCTCTTTTCCACTCTGATCTTTAAAGTAGCTTGCGCCAACAGTTGTACACAGAAGCAGCTCCGGGCGGATGACGTATAAGGTCAGCGCTGCGCATGCACCGGTGAGTCTCGTGAAAACCAACGTTTGTTAACAGGAGCAAAGGAAGCAAAGTTTCCTTACTTTAGCAAAGGAAAACCAGTCTCCTCTTGGCTTATATCGAAATCCTCCGACATTCTTCTTTACAAATCCTCGTTTTGTACTTCTAATTCTTGACCGTTGTTTTGTTTTGATCTCTCCGCTGCGTTTCCGTGTGCATCACTTCTGAGCGCCGCATGCACAATGCCGACCTCATACGTCATCCTCCCGGAGCTGCTTCCATGTACAACAGTGAGCGCAAGCTTTTGCGACCCCCCCGGAGCTGTGTGAGTAGGCCTGTCACGATAACAACTTTTTGTTGTGCGATATATTGCCCCAGAAATAATTATGATAAGCAATATTATTGTCATTTTATAAACCATTTTATGCCACTGAATATATAATCATAATGTAACAGCATAATAATGCAAGAAGGCCTACACACTTCCAAATGACAACAAACATTTTAAGAATATTTAGATAATGGAAATTAAGTATCAAAATATTAGATACCTTAAAAACCTGAATAAATAGTAAATAAACATGTTCTAACAAAAAGTGCAAAGTAACAAGTAGAAAAAAAGAAAATGCACAAAGAACTTGAAAAATACAATCACTACTCAGCAGTCAGATGTCCGTATGCACAAAGATACAGATCCCTAAACAAGACCATATCTGCAGATGAAACTTTGTTTGTAGAAGCATTTTTTAAATTTGAACTAGCACCGACTACACCACGTTATGCACGAGAAGCTGCAAAAGACACAGGCGCAAGTGGAATGTACAAAACATGGTGACATTAATTTTTATGTAAATATAATGGGCGATTTATTGCGCCACCAAAAACTTGAGGTCATATACATATATTGCGTGATAAGTCGATATATTGATTATTGCGACAGGCCTACGTGTGAGACACTTTTTTTTATGGATGGCCGATTTTTATTTAAGTTCTTTTGGACTGAAGCAATGCAACACCCGCTGAGTGACATTAAACAGCTTGAAAGATCAAAGACAATTTTTTATATAACTAATAATATATTATAATATAATAAAAATAAAAAAAAGAAGAAAGTCATATACACCTAGGATGCCTCGGTGTGAGTAAAACGCAGCCTAATTTTCATTTTTGGGTGAACTAACCCTTTAAGACTGGTTTTGTGCTCCAGGGTCACAATTGTCATGCTCTTACTTTATCTATTGCTTGTTTGAGTGATGTGCTCATTCATTTGGTGAATTTCAAAAGAAACTTGCTTATGTTAAAGACAGTTATGTTGCTTATGTTATGCAGTTTTTCAACAGTTTTGCATAATGAAAATACTCGCATTGAATTCATTCAGTCATGTCAAACAATCACTAAGCCTTGGATGATATAAGTATTTTTAGAAATCCTTAATTTTATATTTTAGAAAAAAGATTATTTTCCCCACACTGTTTTCAAATTCCATACTTTTCGACACTGCATAGGAAGCCTAATGTTTTGATGGCTGATTACAAAAAGAGAGCAAAAAAAATTTAATGTAAACTCACCATCCTTTTCTGTGCTTGCTGTGGATGATCCATGTATGATGATGAGTTTGCTGTTGTGTTCTCTGCGCACAGTCACTCTACTGGCTCTGAAACACACGCATATACATTCTCATGGCAGAACGTATATATGATGAGAGACAATGAGAGAAGGCGGAAAAAGTTGAGCTCACCTGCAATTCGGACATTTCCTCGGGCCCATGTATACTCTCCAGAAACTGTTGATGAGACTGGACTTTTTCTCACAGATATGTTTGATCTGAAATCAAAGCGAATTTATAAAATGCAATTAGAAAGTGCACAGAGACAATAATATGACTAAAGTAAAAGATGTAAAAGACAAAACAGGCGAGATGGATGAGTTTCAGACTCACAGGGGCAGTATGCTGCTTGTCGTCACTGGCTTTAAGAATGGGTGTAATGAACGCCTCCAGAGCTTCTTGGATTTCTATTCCAGACGGCTTAGCATCGACCTCCAGCAACTTAGAGAGGATGACAAAAACGCAATATATAAGCACTTCAGTCCAATGAATGATGCTTCTCTCTACAAGATAAATCGCTATGACCTAAATGAGAATAGCTCTTCAATATTTTCTGACCTGATTGAGAACGTTCTCAAGCTCATACACCTCCTTCATCGCACCCACGTCCAGGAGCTTCAGCTGGCCCAGCAGCAAATGAACAGCGGTTCTGGGACACTTCAACATATGGCATCCCAGGCATGAACCCCGGATGAGCAAATATAATTTCTGTAAAGGCATTGACGTAAGGGATTACACTATCTATAGTTTATATATAGGTTTCTTCAAGCGTCTTGGAGATGTTGCCACAGTTATTCTGGATTTAGTTTAGGTTTCTTCATGTCATTCCAGACAGACTGGATGATGCTGAGATCAGATCTCTGTGTGGAGCACTGGCTGCGGTCAAATTCCTTGTGAATACAATTGCAATTAATGGCAAAAGGAATGTTTGGTAATGTACACTGATATTTCCTACTGACACTACAGCAAAAGATAGAAATAAGTGACTTGTTGTTGAAAATACTAGTAGCCTAATGGTGCGTTCAAGTCATGTCGGATAGATCGTATTTAAGAGTTGAACGCACATGAATGCCGCCACCACAAAGTCGTTATTACGAGTGGGAAACTCAACATTTTCTTTAAGCCCCGAGTTCCCGAGTTGGGGGTGTATCAATGAGAAACATGGCAGAATCGATGGATGCAACGTCTGTAGTTGATGGTAAATTTTTGTTTAAATTGATAGTTTAGTTGTCCTATAAACTTAAATTGGTCATGTTATCGTAATGATAACAGCTAGTTAATGAAATCAAAGTAAAAAAAAAATGCTATCATTTTTGCAAAAATCTTTTGATTTGCCATGTTGCAAACACACCTGATGCGAATTCTTTGCTCTTCATTTTCTATAAGCAGAGTTAACAGACCCTGTTGTATTTTCTTGTAATTTATTAAAAGAAAACTTGAACGCAGCATCAGACTTTTGCACAGTACTGTGTATATATAGTCCTACGAGGTAACAACAGCAAATAGAATGACAGACTATTAACCCCAGATAAACACATAACATAATAGCATGCAACCTGCAAAGGAGGACCTGCAACTGCACAATGACACTTACATCAAAAAACATAGGGTTGTAGACGGGAAGAGGCAGATCTAGGAGACCAAAGTGGCCAGGACAGCTGGTGTAGTCTTGCATGCAGGTGGAGCAGATCTCCTTGTTATCAGCTGGACCCAGCGCCAGGTCATACAGCCCGTTAGCGGCGGCATTGCCCACATTATCCAGCAGCTGGGAATTAGTGATACTTTTCACACTCAGCTTCCTGCGACACAGGCAACAGTTCTCAGAAGGTCTATATATCAAAATACGCATTATTGTTTTACTGCTTACGCTTCACTCAAACGTAACGAAATACTTCAAACAGACATGTTGTGGCAAACACTGTCCAACTGTCACACGTAATACGCAACTGAGCTCCAGCTAGTTTGTTTAGCTGTGCTGGTATGAGTTGTGCAAGCGTATTATTACCTTATTTCATCGGCGGAGAACAAGCCGAACGACATGCCCTCTAATCGCCTCCATGGTGTTTCTTTTGAAAACAGCATTTTCCAAAAAATAAATACATAAATCAGAAGAGAGATCTCATGTATTCCCCGCGTGCGTCGTGTGGCGCTGTAGCGCGTGCGAACTTGTCCTGAGCGAGCGGGTGAGACCAAATAACACGCAGCTACATTACACTTCAACACCACCTAACGCGAGGGAATAGGGACGTCGGCATTTAAAGCAATAGCAGATAATAATTATGAGCTAGTAAACTATAAACGCTGAAAATGAATATTCAATGGGGCCGTATGAAGAATAGTTTATTTATATTGTTTGTTGAGATGGTATATCCCGACCGTAGAAAACGATTGAACCGTAGAATGGAAATTAATTCGCAACTGAGTAAAAATAATAGTTATTCTTTTTTTAAACTCTTCGATTTTTTTATTTTAATCCAATTAGTTATTAAACTTTCTGCGTCATTATCTAGACGTAAATGATTGTCTTGACCGTTGAAATAATAAAAAAAGTAGTATTGCTGCACTCGTGCCATGATGACAACACGTGACAACAAATGGTACAAGTTGTAGCTCTCAGAAAATTCCCAGTTCACAAGCTCTAAGAAGTTTTACAAGTTAGTTTCTCGTAATGGCGTGAACGCACCTTCTGTAGCGGGTTTGGTCACATGACAGGTGTGATCTTTCTCAGCGCTACACAGGATGGACCAATCACAGCTCACTGCGGTGGTGCCGCGGTCATCGCTGTTTCCTGAGCCGCCACGCGCCCCCTGCAGAAATGACTCTATTATTATTGGATGGAGCGTTCGAGCGCTAGTGAAATGGGGCAGTATGGAAAAGAGGGCGAAATTTGAGGTATATCTATAATCAGCTACAGCAGGCAATTAATACAGTAGAGACTTGGGCAGAGGAATGGGGTTTTAAAGTATCAATCTCAAAATCTAAATATGTAGTATTTGGTTTTAAAAGGGAAAAACCAGAACAGGGATTAAAGATATATAATACACCCATTGAAAGGGTTAAGTCATTTAAATTCTTGGGAGTTTGGTTTGAGGAGAGAATGTCATGGAGGGTATATATAGATCAAATAGTTAATAGATGTGAGAAAGTTATTAATATTTTAAGATGTCTAGTTGGAAGAGACTGGGGTGGGGATAGAGATACATTAATGATGATTTACAGGGGAATCATCAGATCCAACATCGACTATGGATGTATGGCATATGGGTCAGCAGCGCCATCTGTTTTAAAGAAATTGGAGGTTATTCAAGCTAAGGCTTTAAGAATTTGTAGTGGGGCAATGAGAACAACACCAATCAATGCACTTTTAGTTGAAATGGAGGAGACTACTTTAGAGATAAGGAGGATTAAGCTGTCTCTGAACTATTGGTCTAAGCTCCGAAGTTTTAATTGCAAAAATCCGGCCAGAAGGTTATTAGAGGAACACTGGGCGTTTCAGAGAAGGGGTGGAAGGGATAGAAAGGGGAGCATGATTAACTCTGTGGACAAGAGAGCTCAAGAAATGGGTATGAAGGACTACGTAATAGGACCAGCAGTGTGTTGGTCTCCAGTCCCACCATGGTTTCTGCCAGAGCCTACAGTTGATTTTTCAGTGCTAGATCAAGTTAAGGAAGATAATGGTGATCCTGTAGTCATGGTTTATGAACATTTAAAAGGAAATTGGTCAGGCTGTAAGCAGATATATACTGATGGCTCTATGAATCCACTCGATGGAAAAGCAGCAATAGGGATAAGTATCCCTCAGTTTTGTGTTAATCAAGGTTTTCGATTGCCAGATAACATGTCAGTCTTTTCTACGGAATTAGTAGCAATTTTGTGGGCCCTTGGGTGGGTGGAGGGACAAAGACCTGGAAGAAATGTTTTATGTTCAGATTCCACTGCAGCACTAATGGCAATTAAGGGTAGGAAGAGTGAGGCCAGACCAGATTTAATAATTGAAATTCTGGTTGCACTAAATCGGGTGATAAAAGTGGGAAATATAGTGGGATTTTTGTGGGTTCCAGCACATGTAGGGATTCAGGGGAATGAAGTGGCTGATGAGATGGCAAAAAAAGCTACACGCAAGAGTGAAGTTGATTTGAAAGTTATGTATGGAAGAGTTGAGTGCAAGAGTATTATTCAGCAAAAAATAAAGCAAATATGGCAGAAAGAATGGGAAGAAGGAATTAAAGGTAGACATTATTTTTCAATTCAGCCTACACTAATGCACACATCATTCACAAGATTAGAGAGGAGGGCTAGTGTGGTAATCACTAGATTAAGACTGGGGCATTGTGCACTGAATTATGGGCTGGCAAGGGTTGGCAAGCATCCAGATGGCAGATGTTTGTGTGGAGAATTAGAAACTGTGAAGCATGTAGTAATGGAGTGTGAAATTTTTCGTGCTGCAAGAAACCGCATGTTTTCTGATCTGTTGGAATCCGGAGTCTCCTCTTTATCTTTAAAATCAATTCTTGAAAATAAGGAATATGAAGCAACAAAGGTTGTTATAAGTTTTTTACTCCACACTGGTCTTTATTTGAGGATTTAATCTATGAGATGGAGTTCTTCAGATGAACTGGGGAGGGCAGCAATACGCCTTTGAAGCGTCTAAGCTGCCGCAAATCATACAAGAAGAAGAAGAAGAAGAAGAAGAGCGCTAGTGAGGCGAAGCGCCACCGGATGAGTTTCGAGCACGCATTTCGGTGTCATGGCGTCCTCCTGCTCGCAAGCTCTCAGGCGGCATGTGTGTAAGAGCTGCACAATACTGCGCCTTCACCTGCAGAAGTCAGGGCCTAAGAGGTAAGATAAAAGCACAAGGACAGGCTTATTGGGCCCGTTTTATTAAATGACATATTCATGTATGTAAAGAAGAAACGGCTGGTTGTCTGTAGGTCATTTCAAGGGGCTGTATGTGTCCGCTCAAGTGTTATCCGGCGCATGAAAACGCTCATTATCTGGTTTGTTTACAGGAGTTTTGTTCTGAATTCTGCTGCAGATCAACAGCCTGCCGTTTCTTCACCAGGTCTGGCAGTTATGTCTTTTTATTAGGAATATTCATGTGCTTTTATTAAGTTAACATGCTTTCTAATCAGAAATAAATGTCAGAAATGCACGTTTCTTTTTTCTTTCTTTTTTTTCATTTCAAGGGGCTGTATGTGTCCGCTCAAGTGTTATCCGGCGCATGAAAACGCTCATTATCTGGTTTGTTTACAGGAGTTTTGTTCTGAATTCTGCTGCAGATCAACAGCCTGCCGTTTCTTCACCAGGTCTGGCAGTTATGTCTTTTTATTAGGAATATTCATGTGCTTTTATTAAGTTAACATGCTTTCTAATCAGAAATAAATGTCAGAAATGCACGTTTCTTTTTTCTTTATTTTTATTTTTTTTTCAGAAGAAATAGTAATTCCAAAGAAGAAAACATGGTACTGGTCAGATCTGAACACATGGTTTATAACTCATAAATTCACATGATCAGTGAATATATAGATTTCTAAAATCATTCTATGCATAAATGAATAAATAATGAATTAACAATGAATTAATTGTTACTGTTATCAGGAGTAAAGAGGCTGTCTTACAGGCACTGGCATCCACTGTGAGCAGGGTATGTTCATCAGACAACTCTAACAAGCATGTTAAAATGCATTGTTATCTAATATTATGTAATAATAGTAACTGTGTGCATGTGTTTGTTCTAGGATCCTACAGCCTCAGATTACAGATTACAGGATGATCCATATCTCACTCCAAAAACATCGTCAGAGTTTGTGAGTTTTGGCTATCGAACCATTTCAGGTTTTCAGGTTACACTATTAGAGAGGTTCCCGATCGGCGCTTGTTATGCTAGCTGCCATTTTTAAGACCAGTAAAGACATACCATTTCTACAAACATACCATTTCTCAGTTTAAACTGAATTTTCTTTCAGTTTAAATCATTTATTCATCTGCGAGTATGCCATTTGAGCTTCCCGAATGGCCCAACACAGCAGCACTGGCTGGACTACCAGTTGAAAAATGATTATTTCATGAAGCTACTGCCTCAGAAAGCACACACTTTAAATGAATGTTTATTTAAACATTGAAATAATGAATGTGTTTAAGTGTCATAATTTGAAGTTAGATGCACATTACATTAACTTCTTTTTCTTCTGCACAGAAATTATTTTCCTTGTCCCAGGAATCGGGCAAAAATGCTGCCAAATATTTCATCAATACATACCCGAAATACTTCCAGAAAGACTATGCTCAGCCTCATATTCCTGTGAGTGTCCAGTATTTGTGTCTCTTGGTTTGATCTGCTTATGAGGGCTTGTGCTTATGAATGTTACTTCTGTTGGAAGTGTTTGATGCCGGAAACTCTTGAGGCTCAGATCGAGGAGGTGTCTGAAGCTGCTCTCATAGAGAGAATTCACATGAGGAAAGTCGAAGCTGCTGTGGATCTGTACGACCAACTGCAGCAGGCCGGTAAGAACGAGCAAGACGAGCCGTCGCATGTAATACTATGACAAATGTACATTGTGTTTAACTGTGCAACTGAATGGCGAATGAGTGTATTCTGTGCAGGTACACCAGTGTCATTGGATGTGACCAATCAGTTGTTAGATCTGATTTGTTTCTATGGAGATAGTGATCCCGCACAAGAGAATGTTCCGAAACAGAGGAGTGAGGAGACGGTAGGGCCAGTCACACCATAAAACAATGGTCAGGATACTCTGTTGCTTTAGTGCAGTAGCTCCCAACCACGTTCCTGATACTGCTTCATTTTATTATACATTTTATACTTCATTTTATAATGACCAATAAGTCACCTGAGATGCGTTTTTGGTGAATTTTTTTGCCTGTTTGTTTGTTTTTAAACTCCATCTTATGCTCTTATCCATGGTAAAACCCCAGGAGGACGTCCAGGATGAACCGCAGACTAAAAAAGGAAGAGCATCTAAAGCCAGTGATCAGTTGAAGGCCGCTTGGAAGTGAGTTCTTACAGAATGTGGGAAACGGACATTTTTTGTTAACAATCAAAATTTTAGAATAATTAAGATTTTTTTTTTTTTATGTATTTGAAAGAAGTTTGTGAAAATTATAAAAATTTAATAACTTTTTACTATTGTAATGCATGTTAAAATGTAATTTATTGCTGTGATGCAAAGCTGAATTTTCAGCATCATTACTCCAATCTTCAGTGTCACATGATCCTTCAGAAATCACTCTATTGTACTGCTTTGCTGCTCAAGAAAGATTTCTTCTTATTATTATTATTATTATCATTGTTGAAAATAGGGATGCACCGATATGAAAATTTTGGCCGATACCGATATGGTGGCCGATATATCGTGCATCCCTAGTTGAAAACCCACTTTTGAATGGTAGTGTAAGATTAAAATATATATATATATACATTTATCTAACAAGGACACATTAAATTGATCAAAAGTGAAAGTAAAGACGTTTATAATGTTACAAAAGGTTTAGGGCTGCCACTAACGACTATTTTTATTTTGATTAACCTATCGACTAATTCATCGATTAATCTAAACGATTAATTTCCCACAACAATTTTAAAGAACATTTTATTAAACTTGCAACTTTGCCATTCAATAGTGTACCATAAAAAAGTATAAACGTAAACAAGCCATTGACGAAATGTAAAACTAAAAGAGTAAAAATGTAAACAAACCTAATAAAAAGAAAATAATTACAAAAGTCTGAGAAAGTCAGCATGTTCTTAATGTCAGTATATCCACATGTTCTGGGCTTTATTAAATAAATGCAATGTTTAGAGTCCACTAGAATCAAGTATTAAAATGTTATTATTATTAAAAATGTTAAGTATTAAAAGTACTCTTAGAAATGTGTAAACAACAGATTTAAACAGACATCTCCCGCATGATGAAAAAAATGAACAGAGGACTTCAGTAGTGAAACTCTAAATGAAATCCAAATTTCTATGAAATCCTTTTTTTAAAGCAAAAGTAAAGTGCAACAGAGAGTGCAAGAAGCAAGTGTCCATCTCATAATCCCAATCACTGAAATCAAAGTTCAGAACCAAGTCTTAAAAATGTATTATTAAAAGTACTCTTAGAAATGTGTAAACAACCGATTTAAACAGACATCTCCAGCAAAAAATGGAGGACTTCAGTAGTGAAACTCCAAATGAAATCCAAATTTCTATGAAATCCTTTTTTTAAAGCAAAAGTAAAGTGCAACAGAGAGTGCAAGAAGCAAGTGTCCATCTCATAATCCCAATCACTGAAATCAAAGTTCAGTATTATAGTGTAAGAATTACATGTCCACGTGTTCTAGTCTACTAATAATAAAATATTATCATTAATAATTAATTTTTGTGGTAATAAAAACAGATGTAGGCTAAGTGAACAATAGCCTTTAAATTAGCTTAAAATACACATATAATAGCAACGAGGCAATAATAATTAGTTCAAAAAGTATCAAAAGCAAGAAATCATACGGTTTTATTGAACAAAACTGTTAAAATACTGTATTATAATGTAATAGAGCCACTGATCTATATATAAAGTGAATAGATCACTGAAATCAAAGTTCAGTATTATAGTGTAAGAATGACAACATGTCCACATGATCTGGTCTACTAATAATAAAATATTATAATTAATTTTCGTGGTAATAAAAACAGATGTAGGCTAAGTGAACAATAGCCTTTAAATTAGCTTAAAATACACATATAATAGCAACGAGGCAATAATAATTAGTTCAAAAAGTATCAAAAGCAAGAAATCATACGGTTTTATTGAACAAAACTGTTAAAATACTGTATTATAATGTAATAGAGCCACTGATCTATATATAAAGTGAATAGATAAGCGATTAGAGCTAATGTACATTACGCATTACAACAAAGGCCTGCAGAGAGCGCCAGCGCCCTGACGATTGTTTTTACACATTACTGTGCGATCTAATACTTGTTTAATATTGACCAAGCACCATTTCATTCAAATGTCCACTTAATCTTTAATATTTTGACCATTTCTTTAGGTAATATAATATTTAGGTAATTTAATGAATATGTGGACATCAAAACGTGTAAACTCAGAGTGAGGGTTTGAGCTTTTATTTTGAAATTACGAGATAATGATGTATTCTCCTGTGTTGGCGTGGATTTATAAATGATTTACCTTACAAATCTGATGAAATGGCGCACGTTGCGTTCCCAGATGAACGTTATAATAAACCCAAACTCACAACAACATGCAGAGATGGAGTTCGAGACGCTCCACACGTGTAGCGTGTGATGCATGTACTTAACCTACACGCCTATAACTGCATCACATATAATTATTTAATTAAATCGTAGCGTTTGTGAATACACAGGTATGCTTAATTATGATTTTTAAACGGGTTTAATATATCATGAGGCCTTGGAAAACAGTCTAATAATATGTTTTATGGATTCTCGTCTGTGAAATGCGCCACTTCCGGTATTTTGCCGGTTAGTCGACGCGAGCAAAATGAAGTCGAGGATTGTTTTTAATGGAATCGACGAATCGCGACAGCCCTAAAAAGGTTTTGTTTAAAATAAATGCTATTCTTTTAAACTTTTAATTAATCAAAGAATCTTGAATTAAAATTGTATCACTTTTTCCACAAAAGCATTGATAATAATAAGAAACACTTAATAATTGAGTACCAATAATAATTGGGCACATCAAAATGATTTCTGAAGGATCATGTGTCACTGAAGACTGGAGTATTGTTTGCTGAAAATTCAGCTTTGCTTCTCAGGAATAAATTGCATTATAAAATATATGAAAAAAATTATAATTTTAGATATTGATAATATTACACAATATATGAAATCTGTATTTACTGTACTTTTGATCAAATAAATGCAGCCTTGGTTAGCATTAGAGACTTAGCATTATAATTCCAAATAAATTGACTGGTAGTGTATCTGCATAACATAATACAAAGTCAAGAAAATACACTGTCATATCATAAGAGGACACCTTGTCTTGTTTTCTCCTTTAGAGAGAATAATAATGCAGAGAGGATCTTTGCGCTGCTGTCAGAGCCAAACACGCATTCGTACAGTGCTCTGATACGAGGCATGGTGAAGGTAACGGATGCACCAACTTCTACATTTCATTTCTAGTGTGATAGCAGAAGATGACTGCATTTGTGCTTGATTTCACAGTATTGCGCTTATTCTAAAGCGTTCAGCACCTACACCGACCTGCTCAACAACCGACTGAAAGGTAAGTATGTGCTTTTCAGTTTTTAAATCAATTAAAATGAAACATTTTCTAAATGAGCATTTCCAAAGCTGAATTGCCTTGTTTTGTTCCTCTAGCCGATGTGAACACCTTCAATGCCCTGATCACAGCCGCCCCGGAAGTAAAAGAGAAATACAATGAGAAATGGGAGCTGATAGTGGTATGTGATATAGATTTAGTTGTGAAGCCGCTGTCTGAACTAGATTCTGCAACAGTGTGTGTGTTTTGTAGGATCTTTTGAAGGAGATGGCAGAGCAGAAGGTCAAGCCGAACCTCCTGACGCTGAACGCTGTCCTGAAGGCTTTGAGACACTGTGGCACTCTGGGCAAATCTCAGGCCTTTCCTGTGATCAGTGAGATGAAGGCTCTCTCCATCGGTCCGCTGAGTGATCATTTTTTATTCCTGCTTCTATAAGAAAGAAGTGGTTTATGATATTTTGATGCCTGTTTTGGTGTGTAATTGGTTTTTTTTCTTTGATTTCAGATCCCAGTCTGGCCTCTTACAATCACTTGCTCAACATATTTTATAAACCAGGTCATAAAGGCTCATTTTATACATTAAAATGCCAATTGCTTCAATTCTTAATTAAATGGCCATGTTGAATGTGCACAGAAACACACAGTCATGCATTTCCCATCATGCTTTGCTCTGCAGGTGCCCCATTTCTGGGCCAAACGGGGATTCTGCAGGAAGTGATGAACGAGGTGTCAGGGAAGAGCTTCACTCCACAGGACCCTGATGATGGTATCTGCTTATTATTACAGCGGTGTTTACTTACTAAGGTTTTGTTCAAATCACTATGGGCCTGTCTGCCTTGTCCTGGTACCCACACTTGTGCTCTTTGCCGTTTACCACTCTACGTACATGACATATTCCCAGCCCAAGTGTTCAAGCCAATGGGACACACTGTAAAAATGCAAGTGAAGTTTGTACAGAACTTTTATACGTTTTGATTTTCAGTACTTTGCACAAGTTTTACTCCACATTCTGTGACGTCGGGCACGTGAGTTCCTGAACATGATGGGATATGCTTTGCCTCAGGAAAAAAACAAACAAAAATGCATAGAGAGAGTGTGGATTTAGTGTGTGTTGACGGCACTGAGATTTGGCATATTTCAGACCTGAGACAGGACTTGCTTCCACTTGCACACACTCTCAAGTGGACAAGACCGCAATTGTGGGTATTGGGACAGGCCCTAACTATTACACTTCAACATGTAATGATGCCTTATTGTAAAAGCATCTACAGAGTTGAATCACACCTTCATTGCTTTTGTTTTTCAGCACAGTTCTTCATTACTGCTGTGAGAATAGTAAGTGCACTTAAACTTTCAACAGTGCTGCTTCATGGTAACTCACTTTAGGATGGCACGTGACCCTGTTTATCATCTCTATCTACAGTGTCTTGACACTAAGGACATTGAGCAGGCGTACAGGGTTCATGAGCTGCTGGGGGTTGGAGAGAACTGGAGACTTCTGGGAAAAGATCTCCAACAGAACATTTACTAGTAAGTATAATATTGCGATATAATGTGAACTTCAGAAATCTCTTAAATATCAGGTTGCTTGTGTCTCTCTCAGTGCGCGGTTCTTCAGTCTGCTCTGTATGATGGAGAACATTGATGTGATGCTGAAGTGGTACAGAGATCTTGTTCCGTCAGTGAGTAAAACATACTCCTATGTTTCTTCATGTGAACACACACGGAATGAAGTGCTTTGATTAGGGTTGATGCGATCTGGTTTGCAGGTGTACTACCCCAGTTCTAACATCATGAGAGATCTGCTCCAAGCGCTTGATACCGACAACAGATTAGACCTCATCCCACAAATATGGAAAGGTGATTGATTAACTGATTGATTTAGTTCAAAATAAGAGTGTCTATGAAATATTTCACCCAAAAAGGTTTTGTGTGTTCTGGGATATATGGTTTATGAGAGCCCAAATGTATATAACAAGGTATTGTACAACGTAAACATGGTGTCCTCATTAACCAATTGGCTTAAAACACACTAAATGGCTTTTAGTTTTGTGTACTAGATTTGGTAGTATCAATACTTAAAGTATTATCTACTCCTTCTCCACAGATATCAAACAGTTGGGCCATGCCAACAGACAGAAGCTGGTGGAAGATCTGCTGACACTTATGGCAAGAGAGAAGCAAAATCAGGAGGTATTGCCTCTTACCTAATCTACATCTATACTGGTTAATACTCATGCCTTCTACAAGTCTTCCTCCCTTGTTTCACTTTCTTTTCAGATGTCTTGCCAGTGGATTATAAAGCCAATTTCTATGTCAGTCTGTCATAATGGTGCTGGTTTGTAATGCACATGTATGTATTTTCTGGACAGGTGCAGGAGTCGTTTGCTGAGTGTGCGCTGGACATCAAGAAAATGTATGACACTGGTGACCGGGGCAAGGTTATTATGAGCTGGACGGCCACTTCTCTCAGCGACATCATCTCTGTTTTACTAGCAGCTCAGAGGAGGCAGGACGCCTGGTAACATCTTTAATGGACATCTGTAATGCGATCCAGATCAAATTGAGTTAAAGCACCTCACAGAATTTCTTTCTCTTCCTTCAATTCAGGGAAATACTGAAACTCTTCAAAACACACAACAGAGTTCCAAGGTACAATCAGGGGTCTCAAATTTTGACTGGCGGTTTCTCTCGGCTCTTTAGTGTTTTACAGTTGAGCATAGATAGAAAAATGACTAAACTGTAAAAAAAGTCAATATTTTAGGATTTAAATGTAATGTTGAAACAAAGAATCTAAATTAATTTTATATTATATTATCCCCCGGTTTCATAGACAAGGCTTAAGCCTAATGCCAGACTAAAAACTAAGAAGAAACTTGCTCTGATTGTTCTTAAAATATATCAGAGTGCCTTTATTTTGTCTCAAAATGCACACCAGTAATGTATTTTTTTTAAGGCACATTTATAAAAATTACTCAAATGTCCTAATTGCACTATGGCCTAATCCTGGCTTAGTCTAAACCCTGTCTATGAAACCAGGCCTTTGTGTCTTAATAGTCTGAGTGTTCACACTGATGTGTTGTTCTGTCAGTGAGGAGCTGCTGAACAAGTTCTTGATGTGTATAATGGAGAGTGGTGAAGTGAATCATGCAGTGGAGCTGGTGCAGATCTCAGCTGGCTTCTGTTTGCCCGAGACCCCAAAACTCATCCAGAGGGTCCAGCAGGAGTTTCAGCTCTCAGAGCAACAGAAGTAAGCTTGTGGCAACCCTAGAGATTTTAGTTGAATTAAATTATTCAAGAATCAAATTATAATCTGGTCCCTCTGGGGTCTTTTTGTCGTGTTGCAGGAACATCTTGTCTGATCTGGAGATTCAGACCTTTAACAGCGATTAAATCTCGACATTCTGCAGCGTGGAGGGATCATAGCAGCTAAAAATCTGGAGAAATGTCAATGTGGTCATTTTCAATGTCATTAATAATTGTGTACTTAAACATGCTTTTCACATTCACAGATTTCAGTCTTCATTCAGATGGAAACTAAGTATTTTACTTAAGAAAAGCAAATGTTTCCTCCCATTTCCTCATGGCTTCTGGACTGGTACTTCAGGACAGTTTCACCGTTTCTGTTGTGTCTTCTTCCAAATGCTCATGTAGCTGTTTGTTCAGCTTCAAATAAAGAATAGAGCTATAAGCAGCAATAATCGGTGTTCAAAGAATACACAGATGTAACACGAGAGGGGGTGAAATAGCTCATATTTTTGAAATCATAAAAGTCAAGAGAAATATTACAGGTAGTTTAATAAATCATGAAGTGATGAATGCGTTGATGACAGTATTACAAAAGAGATGTTACAGTTTTACATGAAGTATATACACCTCTGAGGATACTAATGACTTTTTTAATTTTCTTTTTAGAGGATTGATGTTATTCCCATTTTCCCAAATATCGACAGTTCTAACTATAAGTAAGTTTGCAACTACGTGCCAACTCTTCATTAGAGTATTAGTAGACTGTTAGGTTAGGGTTAGTAGAATAAGTTGACATGTACTTGCAAAGTTTGATGTGGTTAGACATCTGTTATGTTTAAGACACTTTATCATTTTGGTTTTGGACTAAAATTTATAAATATCATCAAAACGTTTTATATTGACATAATCCCGTGGTCTTCCCAAATTGACATGCCCAAGATTTCAGGTGATAATCAGGTGGTATTACACTCTAAAAAATGCTGGGTTAAATACAACCCAGCACTGGGTTGTATTTAACCCAGCATTTTTTAGAGTGTAATATTGCTGGTATTAACGTTATACAAAGCACATTTATTATTAGTCAAATTGAAAAAAAAACAATTATAAAAAAAACACATAAATGCACTAAACTCTGTGTTTTGCAAAAGCAACAGTACAGTATTAGTTGAATACATTACATTTTGAATTGATTAATGAGCTCTAATTAGCCTCATTATATAATGATGCAATTAGGAGTTAAAATATGTAGAACTTACAATTTCAAAAGATGAAGAGAAAATTGAAATGCTGAATGCCAGAAAACTGTAGAACAAAAATGAATGTTATATTAGACAGCAACTTGTCTTTTCTAACTCATATTTCACATTATAAAAACAGCCTTCTGCTACCTTAGAAACATCGTCAAGTTTAGAGTGTGCTTTCTGTTTCTGATGCAGTAAAGCCAGTTCATGCATTCATGACCTCTACACTGGATTACTTGACCACACGTCACTTCACTAAACCCCAATTTTATAATTTCTAGACTGGCTACCTATTAAGTACCAATAATTTGTAGGTAAGGCGAGGTAAGATGAATGGCTACTATGCTGTTTTTGATTTTGTCATTTCAGTTTTAGCCAGTCAAAACAGTTTTGAGGTTAACTGGTCTCATTTTGTGTCTCTATGAAATAGTGATCTACTGTATGACACTGTATATGTAGAATATCATTCTTTTGTGTGTGTATCGATTTGTTAATGAGGGATTTGTGAATACAGTAAAACTTAGTTTTTATTTTAAAAGGGTAAAATTAGACCCTTGTTTCCAGTGTTGGGTAAGTTACTTTAAAAAAAGTAATTACTAATTACATAATCAATATTGTATTTAAATTACTTTTCTAATTACTCTGTCTGAAAAGTAACTTAATTATTCGAATTGTTAATTACTTCATAAAATCCCTATAAACCTTGATGCATAGAAATGAAACTCTTTAATTCTTTCAGTTTGAGTTAAACATGGAATAGTTTAGCCTTTTTGCTTTAAAACAACTGTAATACGTAAGCATTTTAATTTTAAAAAAGTAACCTTTTTTAGTTAACAAATAAAATGACTCTGCAAAATATCTGAATAACAAAAAAGCTTAAGAATAGTAAAGTTTTAAGCAACTTTTATAAATGTGCCAGAAGAAAATATTACTGGTGCATCTTGAGAGAAAACAATGGAACTTAAGTATTTAAGGTATGTCAGTGCAAGTTTCTTTCAGTTAAAAGTCTGGGACTAGGCTTAAGCCTTGTCTGTGAAACCAGGGGTATATGTATCAAGCTGTAAGCATTACACTTCTCAAAGTAATTAGTACCATATTTCATACACACTGACATGTATACAACATTAGCAGTCACTAATACTAATTTTATCCACTCCTAACAAAAAACATGATTTTGTACAGTCATTCATGGACATATGCTTTGTCTGCATTAACACACAGTTCATAAACAACATTCTGATATTTAATAAACTAAATTCTTAGTGCTTAGCACACAATAAACATCGACATATGATCGTAGATCAGTAAACACTGATCTAAACATTCCTAGACTGTAACATTCATCATGCTGCAGTGTAAACATTCACATTACTTTATATCTATATCATATCTCATATTTTTTATTATATGATAGCAAAATATTTACATCCCCATTTCATAGGATATTTAGCCTATATGTATAAGTTGTCTATTTAAATATGAATGCATATCATATTTGACCCTCTAACTCTAGCACTTTCTATTCGATTTTAATTCTTTACCCTGGTTAGGTATGTTTTGACGCTGGGATGCTGGTTTAAACTGGTCCATTGCTGGTTTATCCTGGTCATGGGCTGGCAAAGGACCAGCTTAAACCAGCAAAGGACCAGCTTAAACCAGCAAAGGACCAGCATAAACCAGCAAAGGACCATCTTAAACCAGCATAAACCAGCAAAGGACCAGCTTAAACCAGCAAAGGACCAGCTTACACCATCTTAAACCAGCAAAGGACCAGCATAAACCAGCAAAGGACCAGCTTAAACCAGCATAAACCAGCAAAGGACCAGTTTAAACCAGCAACGGACCAGCTTAAACCAGCAAAGGACCGGCTTAAACCAGCATCCCAGCGTCAAAACATACCTCACCAGCATATGCTGGTTTTTTCAACAGGGAAACAAACAAACACTAGCTTTCTTTTTTCTATTCTATCTACTTGTTTTTCTTTGCGTGTGTGTGTAATATATATATATATATATATATATATATATACACACACCTTGCTACGTGTTCCGAGACATTTGCACATATATTGTTGCTCTTTTGTTAGTTTTGACTGCTTTTATTGTCCTCATTTGTAAGTCTCTTTGGATAAAAGCGTCTGCTAAATGACTAAATGTAAATGTAAATATCATTTCAGCATATTTTAGTCGCTTTCATTTCAGTTTGGCAAGATAGTTTAGGAAAAGCCCAACTAGAAACGGGAAAGACTATACCTTGCTTTAGTTTCATATGGATTACATAATCAGAGAATATTCGTTTTCGATTTGAATCGGTTCATTTAAAAGTAGACACTTCAAGTTTTCTATAGACATATTTCTCACGTCTGTGTGTCAAGTATTCGCCGAGTTTCAGTTCGTTTTTGTATTACGCGTTTCAGAAAGAAGTTCACGGAGATCAAAACAGCAGAAAGCACACCGTTTGTTTTGTCTATTTTGTTATTGTCAGTGTACACAAATAATAGTATGCCATTTATAGATTTGATTGATTTTCTTATCTGTGTATTTTAGGTCTTTTTCTCTCTTATCAGGAAAAACTGCAAGTGAACGCGCCGGCGCGCAGAGAGTTAAAGACGCTGCATTCAATTTTACCTTTAGACGATAAATTCAGATTTCAAATTCAATACTGATTTTAGAACTGTAACGCAAATACTTTATAAGTAACTGTAATTAAATTACCTAAAAATTAACAGTAACCCCTTACTTTACTTTTTTCAGTGGATAAGGAGTAACGCGTTACACCCAACGCTGCTTGTGTCTAATTGTATTGGCACAGAAGGGCTCAAGTGGCATGCTGTTATTAGTATTATTTTAAAATTTAATATTTATTGTAAGTAATGGGGTTATTTAACATTTACATGAATTTGATGCACATTTCTGACATTTTCACTTTCATTAAAAATGAGTGAAATCATTACATTTGCATTCATAGTGTTGCTATTCTGACATATCTTCAACTAAAATATGGGCAATTAAATATGTAATATGCAGATAAAAACATATCAAAAATCATTTTTACACTCTGTAAGTCATCTTAACCCTCTTAATATTTTACGCTGTAACTAAGCAAATGTTTCTACTGATTTCCTTTAAGAACGCATTGTCTGATACAGCATCATCATCATGCACATGCTGAACTTATATCGGAATATGTTACAATATAAAAGAAAATCCACATTGTTCTTAAGGAGAGCATCTTCTACCATTCTGTACCTATATTGATTAGAAAGTATTGCAACTTACTTATAAGGCCCTAGATGTTTTAGCACCGGTGTGTTTAACAGATCTTTTAGTTTAACAGTGTTTTCACATTTGGCTCCTAAACTCTGTAATAGCTGGATTAGCCTTAAATAAATACATGACATTAACTGAATGATTTATATATTCTTAGAACTGTACATTTCTGCCATTCAGACATTACTTTGACAGTCAACTCTGATAACAGGTTACTATTAATTGTAACATGGAAACGTGCATATTCTTTTGTAAAGATACTTCGAAATGATATGTATTGAGAAAAGCAATAATGAATTGAATATTTACATGATCATTTTTAAATCTCGAAGGCATTTTATGCTATTGTTGTTGCAATCTATTGTTGCAGCAGTTGAATGATATGACATTAACGCGCACAGACCACCCACAGCTTTCATTCACTGCCTGATGTACATTGCATACAAAACTGCTAAGTGCCTTCTCCATTTGTTTGGCTGCCTTTCTGCAGCTTCCAGGAGAAATGGCACACAAGGTTGACCCTTACTTGGATTTGGTGTATTTGTGAAATGAGTAACAAGCTGCTTATCTGTGCATAACAGCTTTGCTGTCAGATCCAATATAGTACGTGCGGCTCCATCTTTCAATAACATCATAAGGGCTTCATTACATTGCGACTAATTCACAACACAATCTGCACTAAAACATGCCACTCAAACTCTTATGACTGTGTCCTAAAAAAAATAAAAAATGAACCCCTACTAAACCAGATCTGACCCATTTTGAAACAACACAGACATGCAAATAACTGAAATGCCATTATTGTCAACAACCATGATTTATTGAATATCTTCAGTACTGAATGAGATGACTGATTATTCTCAACAGTTTAGGATAATAAACAACCAGTAAATATATCTGAAGCACTACATGTGAACTCTGAAACAGTGAACAGGTTTAGCATCATCAGGTTTAGCGTTTAGCCTGATGAATGCACATTTAATCCTAACCAGTGAGATGTGCGCCATATACACGGGGGAGTGTCACTGCCGAGTGTTTCCCGCATACGAACTACTGGTTGTTCTGGATGGTAGGCCACTTAAGAATTGTTTTTAGGGCAAATACTTCTTGCAAAAGTGCTTTGGACAGTTAAGAAAAACTATTTTTTTGGCTAGCACACAACCTATTTATAAATTAAAGCAGAAGGTTCCGTTAATACCGGGCAAGTAACACTCCTCGTAATTTACATAATCTTGACAGAGTGGGTGTGGCTAAGGGGCCTGTGTGGTGCCCAACCCTACGGCATTAGCATATGCCGATAGCAGGCTAATCACCTGCTTTGTTTCTAAGGTGAGTCGGGCTTCTTTAAGCCAGTCCTGTGCCACACGCTGTGACTCGCCGCGAAGTTGGTTGACAAACTTAGCGGCTAGTTCCAGGTCGCCGCGCTCAATGCTGTAATTAGCGTAGGCAAGCAGCTTGAACGT